GAGGGTGGGTGGCGCCCCGCTTAGGTGCTCCGCCATAATTTGCGCGCTCAACGGCTGGTGGAGGATCCTCTTGGGCGGGTTGGGTCGGTATTGCGGAGACAAGTGTTGCTCTAAGAAGCTGAGGTCCGCCCGCCCTGGTGGTTCGATTCCCTGCGTTTCGCACGCGGGGAATTCCGTCGGCGCGTGTTGTGGTGGTTGGGCAGTTCCCGACGCTTCTCCCAAGGCTTGCTGAGGCGCGACTGCCGTTGCGTCTACTGTTGGCGCGGCCTCCTTGTTCATCATGAGCGCGATGACTTGGCTCATTTGTTTCTGCATGTCAGCTATGACGTTGTTTTGCTTTGTCACCAGCTCCCTCATTTCTTTGGCTGTCATTTCGGGCTCTTCTTCTTCGAGGAGCACCGCGTTAAGGTCGCTGGCTTCTGCGAACGCCCTTGGGTTGGTCATTGCCTTGATTGGCGTCGCTTCGTCAGGTTGGTCGTGGTTGCGTTCTGCCATTGGTAGATTTTCCTCTGCGTTTCTTCTTGGCCCCACGGTGGGCGCCAATTGTTTGAACCTAACTGAGTGTAGGAGGGAGGTTCGGGAAAGAAAGTGGGTCAAGAAGAGTAAACAACAGAAAATCCACGGTATGGCGTAGAAAGAACCGGGAGGTTGAGAGAATCGGTCTTTTAGAGAGAGAAGTTGATGTTCTTAGAGATAGAATGCTAAAAATGCCATCCCCTCACCCACCGGAGTAAATGCCATATTTATAGGCTACATGGTGGTGGGTGAGTGGGTGGATTACATGATGGTATTTTGACCTTGACATGACCACTGACACGTCAGGGATTTAGGCCATGCCTCTACCTAGGACGTGTCAGAGGTGTACCTACGACCATCTCTCGGATCCCAACGTGGCCGGCCCTCGGGGATTGTGGGCGAGACTCCTCGTAGCCCTGTGGCTTAGTACTCGCTTGGCACTCTCAGTACGCGCGTGGCTTGTGACGCGCCCGGCTCTCCGCACCTTGATGCTTCTCACCCGCGCGCAGCTTGTGAGGGGTTCAGGGTCTTCGCGCGTTGGTTCTTTCCATCCGCGCACATCCTCTAATATCTCACACGTTGTGCCGCGTCTCAGGCCTTCGTGCGCGCCTTATGTCGGCGCGCCTTACCTTGCGCGGCTAGGTCCGAGTCACATGCCCAACATAACTCAAGTGGCTCTTTGATGATTTTCGACACATATTTGATTGTGAATTGTGAGTAATTTTAAGTATTGGTGGATCTAATTTCATTAAAATGAACTCGTGATATGTACTCAGAATACAACAAAGTGAGAGTGATGAGTCGAAAGAAGATGAAAATGTATTTCCATGATTATGAGTAAGGATCAACTAAAGGAGTCATGCCCGGAAGACATCACTTAACTCGTGTTCATTTTCTAGATTTGTCACTTCCGAATTGTGTCAATTTGAAATATTTCATCAAATCGAATGTTTGAAACATAATTTAATCACGGTCATCGCTAATAACGATAAAATCATAAATTTCAACATCATTAAACAAACTCATAATCTATTGAGATGTGATGCATTCGTGGTTTACTACCCGAGAAAACAAAAAAAAAAGTGATTTCACCGTAACCAAGTTAAATCCATTACTTCAACCCCATTTTTTACCACTGAATTCCTATTTAACGCCCTAACTTTTTAAAATTTACGCCCTAAATTAACTAAACAAACAATTCTACCCCCAATAAATAAAACGGAAACCCCCAATTTTCAAAACTCTCTGCCAGCCATCGCCCTAAATCCCGCACCCAGTGACAATCCCGTGGTCGCCGGCGATAAATCCCTAACCCATAATTGCCAATCCCGTCCGTCACCGGTGATAATCCCTCTCAGTCGCGTTCTCTTCTCTTCTCTATCTATCCCGTCGCCGGCGATCTCTGTTGCTGCTCCGCCCAGTCGTCGTTGGGGATGGAGGCGCCCGTCGCCGTTGAGGATGAGGCGCCCGTCGCTGTTGAGGAAGGAGAGGGAAGACCGAAGCGGCTGGTTGTTGCTGCTCCGCCCGTCGCCGGTGAGGTAGGAGAGGGAAGGCTGAAGCGGATGAGTGCAGTTGCTCCTCCCATCGCCGTTGAGGAAGCAGAGAGGTCTCCTTCTCTGCTACTGTTGCGGCCCGTTCGTTAAGGAAGGAGAGAGAAGGCATATGGTTGGGTTCCCGGCCTGTCCCTTTGATCTGCAGGTTCGTAAACTGCGTCAAGTTCATCCCTATCGACTTCATCATCTAATGTGTCTGTGTTAACAGACTCCAGCTCAGCAGCCCTCTCATCATCTTCATCCTCCACATATGCCTTGTATGTTAGCCGAACCAGCACTTCTCCTGCAGATCCCTTCCCGAATAGCTCCCTTGAAGAACCACAATCCTATCTGTTGGCATCGTGTCTTGCAGAGACACAAGGTCAACCTGCAAATCAAATCAACCACACAGCTGAAAAGGATTCACTGCATCCATTACCGTTCGTTGGTTTTGGTAGCCTATGGAAGACTTCCTCAGACGA